CCAATTTTCTTACCGATACGGAAGACTTAGATGGTATGTCTGAGGGTGCTACCAATCCAACAAGTGACTTTGAAGATGATTTGGCATTTGAAGCAAAACTTGAGGAAATGGCTGCTGGTTATAGCCAAACAACAGAAGTTCATAGTTCTTCTAAAGATGAAGTGAACTACAAAGTCGAGGTGAATGTATGTGACACTACTGATAATCGTAGCAACACCGATCTGGAGAACTATAAAACGGATGATAGAGGTGTTATGAAAACAGCTAAAACATCACGCTCCAATTACGGTATTAGACTCAACAACGACACAAAGACTACAGCAGCTCTGTTGGTACCTGTAAGCACTGAGGATGTTATAACAGATTGTGAAAATATAGACAGTTCTGACGATGAAGACCACTCAGGAAAAATTCCAGTAGCTTTCTCGAAACAATCAGTATGTTCCACAGATGAGGAAGAACTACAATATCCCAATTCCGTTGTAGATTTACCGGAAGTGGACTTACCACCTCCAGTTCGTAATTTGGTCATTTTGAAGGAAAACGAATCTCTTCCTACCATACAAATTTTTCCGCTTGAAGATGATTCTCCAAGGGATGATGCAAATTATGAAAGCGTATCTCTATCAACAGACGATGAGATTATTTCACAAGAAGAGGAAGATATCGAAAGCCCCAGAACCAACAATGCTCCTGAATTTTCGTTTCAGGACTGTGGTATGGTGAATGAACTAGAAAAAATCCCTCGCGAGTCTAATACCGACACGAAAAATGAAAACTATGATGCTTCGACGGATACAGAAGAAATTGTACTGGATAGTCACAAACGTCGAAGAGCACCAAAGTTCAAGTATATGCATGAAAAATTCCTTTCTGAAAAAAACAAGCTGGCTGTACAATCAAATGCAAACACAGGAGGATTAACAGATTCAGAAGATATTTTTCTCAGTGATGGAAATGAAGAAAATTTTCGTAGCCTTTCGCCAATGATCAACATGCCACCTCTTGTTGGAACAACTGACATAGAAGACATGGTATCATCTGATGAAGAAACGTTCCATAGCGCCATTAGGCCATTGTCTTGTACCCCACAACATCTGAGAGAAATGGGAGGGGCTACAGTCATGTCCAAAGATGGATCTGGCCCTTTTTCTCCAAAAGAACGATTATTGGTGAACAGTCATATGAAAAAGTTTGACGAAGTTATACCAAGTCCTATATATACAGATACTGAGGATATGGCAACATCCGCTGAGGAAGATTTCATGAGCTATTCTCGAGCAGAAACTGCCACTCCAAATGAAGTTGATGTGGTTCCCAATCAAATGAGCACCAGCAAAGTGATAACTGAAGAAAAGAGACAATTCGATTCAGAAGGCTGCATGTATCTGAAAGGTGGTGGGTATATAGAACGTTACACAGATGTTGAAGATCTTTCAGATGGAGAAAATTTTACACCGGGAGTAATATTATCGGATCTCAGTTCTTGGAAAGGTTTTTTAAAGGATAGAAAGGTTTTCCTAAATTTGCAGACAGGGTCGGCGATGTTTGGATTTTGCGAAGGTAATTTTATTCATTTAAATAGGTAGAAACATTATAATTAGTAATTTCTATCGAAATAACTTTGTTTGTTTGTTTGGTGGTTGACAGGTTTTTCCATTTTTTCAGTTTATATATTCGAAAATCATAAGACGGTAACAATTTTTACATGCTTTATATTAGCTTCACTTGTATGTATGTATGTATGTATGTTTGTTTGTATGTATATCTGTTTGCTTGTAACTCTCAAGCTCGGGATCTGTATTGGCAGAATTATCGGCATTATTGCTTGATCTATTCGCGGGCAGATGGCGCTGTACGTAACTATCAATTATTGTTTGATCTATTCGCGGGTAGATAGCGCTGGAGGTAACCTTCTTGATATTTCTTGAACTATTCGCGAGCAGATGGCGTTGTACAAACCTCCTTCATGTTTCTTGATCTACTCGCGGGCAGATGGCGCTGTATGTTACCTCCTTGATAGGTTGTTCAAAATAAAAACCATATTTTAAAAATTATGAGTGAAATTTTGTGCTACAGATGAAATATTCAGATATTTAAATATTTTCAATTACCAGTGATTCAGTACAGAAAAAATTTTTGAATGAAACGGATGATACATTTCAAAATCTAATTTGATTATTTGAAAGCAAACCAGAATATGGATTTCAACAATGACGTAAATTGTACACCTAAACAATTCAGTTACCTACTTAAATATTTCAAAAAATGGAAAAATTAGAATTGAGGTTCAATCACGATGTTCTTTTTCGAATGGGGATGTCTGTACAAAATTCACCTTCATCTCTCAACAATTAAATATTAGACAGAATCAAGAAATAGGTTGAAATCAATATTTTTTCAATATAATAAATTCGGTGTCAAAAACTGTACTTAATGACAGTCTCACGAACTGAGTACTTATGTTTACAGACCTTCTAAAATAACAAGCCAAAATTTGAAATATTAATGACAAGCTTGGATTTGAAAATTGTTTGCTCTTTATGGTAAGTTGAGAACATATAAAATGTATTATTTGACATTGAAATCGTTAAAAAGTAGTGAAAAAATTGCATGGCATAATCAACACTATCTGCATGAATCCTATCCACAGAGGCCTATATACGGTAAGAAATATCCAGCTTGAAAGTTAGCATTGCATGAATTTGAACTATTCACCACACGAAAAATTTCAATCTATTGAAATAATTATTACTTTCAGTTTGGTTATTTACATATGTATCTTAACATAAATTGAACATTATTCTGGCTTACAGTTCAAGCCCGGAAAAGGTGAAATAATTACAAGGTTTTTTATTGACCTTCTTTGGGTATGTTCACCTTCCAAAATCTGAAAAATATGAAAATTGTAATGGAAAACTTCAAAAATGTATGAAAAGGACAAACTTCTCAGTTGACTTGAATATATGTCTGCGTGAATTCAAAGTATTGACTATCAACGAAGGAGCTAAGAAATTATACAATACCAATCTCAACGTTTCGGAGGACAAAATCTGCCTCCGTCTTCAGAAATGAACAAAATTCAAGTCTATTTTGATTTCTCAATTTTTTTTCGACACATGTCAATGGAGTGTTGAAAATGAAAATTCAAAATTGTTTTGACATATGTAAGCCAGACGCATCAGAGGCAATTCCATCATTGTGTATGCAAAACAACTCCCTATATGGTATTCAGAAATAGATTTCTCAAAATTAATTCACATCAACCAATCTTGGTTATTTTTATTTTATGTTTTTTAATTGTGGCAAGGTACAGTGTCATCCCCAAAGTATGTACCATATGGGAAACTCACTTATGACGGGTTTTTCGACAAAACATTATTCCTGATAAAAGTTTGTGTATTCCCTGAAACTGAACCTACACCAACAAAATACAGTAAAACACACGTAATATACGAGGAGCCTTCAAATATTTGACAGGAGTGAAGTACTCTTATTTTGAAGAATTTCCAGAAATGTTATTCAGAAAAGTTTTTCAACATTAAAAAATACATCTTGATTTGAAGTCATGGCCATCTGAGTAAAGTTTAATTTTTTTCCAATTTTTTTTAAATGGGGACTACAAAAAAATTGCTAATACGATAAATAGACAGCATCCTGTACACGACGGTTTATTTTGCAACTCTGTGATATTACGAATTACACAACTTTGGTGTTAACCACGGTCAAGTTTTTTAAAGAGTAACATAATTTTCAAAGGTTTTGGTGCAAAGTTATTTTTATTTTTTGGTAACACCGAAAATTACTCAAAATTATACAGTATTGTACCAATAACTATAATATCAAATCATAAAACATCAAAATATTTTTCATGTCCAAAATAATTCTCCAAAATAATCTTCAGACAATCAATGAATTTGTTCCGAAATACCCATTTTATTTTGAATTTTTGTGACTTGATACTATTGAATATCAAGTTCTAGTTACAATACTGTATAATTTGGAGTAATTTTCGGTGTTAACAAAAAATAAAAATGACTTTAAACCTAAATTTTTGAAAATTAGTTTACTCTTCAAAAAATGAACCGTGGTCAAAACCATAGTTGTGTATTTTTTAATATTAATGGATTTTGAAATAAACCGTCGTATACAGGATGCTGTCTAATTATCGTTCAAGCAAAATTTTTTTTGTGGTCCCCATTTCAAAAATATGGGTAAAAAAATTAAACTTCACTTAGATGGCCATGACTTCAAATCTAGATGTATTTTTTGATACTGAACAACTTTTCTAAATAACATTTCCCGAGATTTTTCAAAAGGAGAGTACTTTACTCTTGTCATAAAATGAAATATTTGAAGGCACCTTGTATATCAGGAGTGTTTTACTGTATTTTGTTGGTGTATGTTCAGTTTTTGGGGATGCACAAACTTTTATCAAGAATAACTTTTTGTCGAAAAACCCTTAGTAAATACGTTTCCCATATGGTACATACTTTGGAGATGACACTGTATATAATATTTTTTCTCTAGAATCAACTCTCAAAACGTCATTTTCCAGAATAATGGTACATCAAAGAAAATTTCACTGGGAATCAAAAAACAAAATTTTTGGGAAAGAAAGTTTTTGGCTTTCTACTACTTCATCTTGATAAAAGAAAACACCTTCCATTCAAAACAAAATTATTTTCATAATTTTTTGAATTGTGGCATAACATGTGTCACGTATTCTTCAGAATCAATTACTTCATCCCTTGTGTGAACAAAAAACTGTCTGTCCGTTATTAAAGAATTGCAGTCGAAAATGACCTTGAACAATACTAGAAATAAATGGAAAAAAATTATTAATATTCCTCCTTTGTTTTACAATATATGGCTGGTAAAATCTGTAATATTTTCTGCTAAAATATAATGTTATGGCTTTTTCTAGCATAGTTTCTATGTGTTTTCATATTATTACAAAATTATTGCCGATTTTATTGAATTTGTTTTTATGTTCACAGAATGGGAAGCCCCAAGACAGCAACTTGACTTGGAGCCCGAAGCTCCACCACTAGAAAAAGACGCAACACAAAAAGGTAAGAAATATGATATGCCTCCAAATGAAATGAACGAATTTTGTATTATTAGTGAACGGAGTGATGATGTGTTACATTCCGGTCGTAAGAAATACAAGATTTTGCATTCTGTAAAAGACATTTTATAATATAACAATTCTAACATACCTTATAAAACCTACCATAAAATAAATTTCAGAAAAGAAAGAAAATTTATTTCGTATACTGAATTCGAATTCAGTTACAATGAAGACAGTTTTAATTCAAGAGAGATGTGATGAAAATCAATGATATTTGGTATTGAATAATATTTTATTATTACACTTTCACTAAACATTCCACAAAACATTCATTTTATTAAACAATAACTTTCTTAAGCAATCCGATCCAAATTCTATCTACTCAGAGCTTCCTTATACAGGGTGTAACACAGGTGCGTTAAAATATTCAAGTATTCCTGAGACAATTGCAAGAAAAAAAATCTATATAAACTTGTGTGCGGAAATGTTTCGTTTCGGAGATGAAGGGTGTTGAAATTGATTTTTTCACGTACGAAATATGTAAATCGGGGTTTTTTGACGTGAGAAATAATAATTTTGTATTAATTTTCATGTAACGTCTGGATAGCGCTGCTTACGCTGTTATTATTTATTTCAAACTGCCCTTACTTTTTTTGGCAGTAGACTTTTAGTACTTTCGATGAAAAAACCAATTCCCACTCATTTTCCAAGTAAAAAAATAATACTTTCTCAACAACGCTGGACATACTCGTTTTTTAAGATTTTTACAATTTTCTATCTATATCTATATTTTCTATATTACTTACGTCCTATGGCGTGGGTGAGAACCTTACAAAAACTAAGTATGTGGTGGATCTCGTCAAAATAAACAACTTTATCCTATGAAATGTTTACCGAAAAATCATTTGTTTTCGAGATACAAATAACTAAAATTGCAAAAAATTTATGACAAAATATGTATATCGGAAACGAATGGTTTTTCGATGAATATTTTATGGAAAAAATTGTTTATTTTGACGAAATCCACCACATATTTAGTTTTTGTATTGGTCTCAGCAACTTTTGCAAGTAATAGAAAATTGTGAATATTGAGAAAACGATGACCTCCAGCATTGTTGAGGAAGTGTACCTCATTTATTTGAAAAAGGTATGGAAATTAGGTTAGTTATTTTTGAAAAATGAACAAACCAATCAATTCCAACACCCTGTATCTCCGAAACGAAGCATTTTCGGTTTATATTAATTTTTTTCCCTAATTATTTCTTTGTACATATGGCCCTTTATATATTACTAATTCAGGTTATAATGATATGACCACCTACGTAATGACTAATAATATCTGAAAACCTATGAACTTATTTAGAAATTGAACCAATTTTATGTCTCGATATTGCTACTGATTTTCAAACATTCCAAAAACTTCATCTTGCTGAAAATGGTTTTCATATGTGGAAATGGTCTTTTCATACAATTAATGATTCTATTTCCTCCTAATTCTTTGAGAGAGAGAGAGTTCTTCTCTTTTGACGTATAAGAAATCCTCAAGTCAATTTATATATGGTGTATAACAAGTCAATTTGATCATCTGAATATAATACTGATGGACCGGGTCTGGTGAATATAATAGTTAATACCGTAAATTATACCCGCCGCCCATGACATACAAAGAAACGGCCGACGTTCGATAACTATCTGATTTTTATGCCATTCGAATTGACTACGTATATTATACACCTGATCTATCCGTCAGCGAAGTTTTATTGTTTTCAATAAATTTGCTCAAATTGTTATACGTTCTATGTTCAAGTCTTTTTCAGAACATGAGTGACATTATTAGTGGATTCGTTTCTTTAAATTGGATGGACCCGGTTCATAACCTGTTTTCACAGTTTTTTTTAATAAAAAATAGAGTCAATAATACCCTCCAGTTGCTGATAGCAATTTGTCATATATGAATATAATTTGTCATCACCCCATCTGCCTGTGAACGAGGTGACCAACCGCATATCCGAAATTTTCCCAATTCTTCGTATAAGAAAAGAACACTTTTCACATATAGTCAGTGGGCATACTAGAGGACAGGCTAGATATCAAATCATCTAAAGTAACAATTCGTTTCTGTTGTTCACTTCAACCTAGTTCGAGGAATGATACTGTGAAAAAATTCGATTTTCAATTATCGGAAATCATCGACTTTATGTTGATGATAGATACTACCTTACACTGACGAGTGGCCAAACAGCCCGAAACCGGTCTGCAAGTGTGTTCCAATAATTGAAAGTCTATTGCGGCAGGTGTATCGTCAAGAGCATATGAAGGAATAACTTCAGTGAAGAGTCCTGCACTGACACGGATATAATCCAACGCTTTTCGTGGTATTAGCCAGGGAAGTAATTGTTTTCTGATAGGTGTCAGTCCATTAACCTACAGTGTAGGGAGTTGAGACTGGCCTGAATGAATTGTTCCTTCAGATGATTTGCTTTTTAGCCAGTGTTCAAGTATACCCACTGACTATATGTGAAAAATATAATTTGAACGGAAAGTCAAGTAGCTTTGTTAGTAAGAGTTACGGGTTCAATATCGTTCACCAATAGGCAATATTAATACTGAACCGAAGCCTGAAATAAGTTTAGGTTCGAATGTGAAGACGAATTCGATACATGCAAACCATCTTTTAACAGAGAACCATGGATTTGATTATAACCATGATGTTTTTTACATTTACTCAATGAAGAAATAGTTTCGAATAACTCTCTTTTGTTGAATTCATCAATATGGAAATCAGTTACTAGTTGATTATTACAATACTGATACGCAAGCTCGAGCAGAATTATTTAATTACATGTCCACATTAGTTTGTTTCTGAAATAATAAATGTTTTCTACACCCGTACTCTAACAATACACTTATATGACCATACTCCGTTTCATAATGATATCCATTATGATACAGATTTTTCATAACGATACAGATTATCAACCAATAGGAACCCATAATTTTTCAATGAGGAATCCTGTAACTAATTGCTTTATTTGTCAAAATCAGTTTTCATATTACCTACCTATATTATCAAAATGTCTGAAAACAGCGATATAGAAGGAATACCATCGACTCCAATATTTTTAAAAGATCAGATTAATTACAGTTGTTATATTCAATATAAATTAATAAGAATCTTTATAGTTTTCATATATCCATGATAATACCATTAAGTTTGTGTTTTTTTTTTTTAAAATGTGAGTTAATTACTGTAAATGTGTTCAATACGAATATAATATTTATAGTTTTTCATTATTTATCGGGTTTAGAAAAAATAGCGTATGCAACTCTCATGTAATGGTTATTAATACACTCGCATATACCATACAAAACTCGCCTTCGGCTCGTTTCGTATCCCGGTTAATGCTCGTGTCTTAATAACCATCATTACATGATCGTTGCATAATATACTAATAAGTTATTAAATAGATAATTAAAGTCATTTTAATGGTCATTAATGATGTAAACAAAGAAGCATAAAGTAAGTGAAGTATTGTTTGTATTTAGCACGCTTGAAAAATTTGAAAATCACGAGTTTTATCGAGAAATCTCCTTAGTATATTGAAAAAGATGTGTCAGTAGTGATATATCGAAAACGACAAACGATATAAGGTTTGAGGGTTATTTGAAATAGTGAAGGATGGTATTGTGAAGATCAGTAGAAAAAATCACTTTTCATACTAAGTTTTTTTAGATGGGCGACTTTTCGAAAATATTATCCTTTTCCGTTTTCAAAACCCAAAATTTACTTGAAAACAACGTCTCAATTGTTCTTTTACCATAAGTAAAACAGTCAACTTTCCATAAACGACAACTCAGTTCAATTGAAGCAATCCAACAGTTTCATAAAGTTTTTTCTTCTTGGCTGTCGCCTTTCAGGAAAGATTCACAATAATAGTCTCTAGTCAACAATAGACACTTTTTGTCGCCTGCGCCTAATACAAAAACCATACCAGCTAGTCCTTTGAAGAAAAATAATAATGCAAAAACTAGCTGATAGGAGGTGAAAATACATGATAATAGTCTCTGGCAGTTATGAATTTTCTCGATCAAAACATCAGTTTTATTTTCATTATACTTATATACTATAATTGAAATAAGGCAATATTTTAACAAAAATATCAATTGTGATTCTATAGAGAATTCCTTAAATGAAATGGAGGGAACATTCTCTTAAAAAATAATTCTGTTGCCCTATGTTCATGAAAATATCATTATTTAGTCATTTATTTTTGAAGTTCAACTATACACTATCTTTTTTGGAACACCCTGTACATATATTTGATCGTTGAGTAGAATGGATCATTATTCTGAATCAAGAACAGAAGGAATCCTTGGCCCAAAATAGCTCCATACATAAATATACTTGAATCACAGAACTACATTTTGATGAATTGTTCTTGTTATAAATTTTACAAAACCAGTCTAATGTTCCTTCTTCAGGTTCAAAAAGTAAGTGTTTCTCTCACAACTGTTTTGTGAAATTTATTTAAATAATATCATTAAAAAATTTCGAAATTTATTTTTTTTAATCAACCTTGTATCATATTCGTTTCCGAAACAGCTCTATTCATATAAACTATGATATTCACACTGTATATAACTGAATTACAAAAAATACATAGCAAAAGAATCGTTAATAAATAATAGTTGAAAAAAATCAAAAAAATATGCTTTAATAGCAACACAGCAAAAGAATCATAAACAAATATTCGTCATAATACCATAAATATCACAATCAAGGGACATTTTGTCAAAAAACTGTCGACACAAATAAATTTTCTTTATGTTTCTGAATTGATCTTATTATTGTTAAGAACATCATCTCACATTAGGGGCACCACCATCAATCACGATCTCCATTTTATTAACCATTTCCTTTTTTTATAATTTTCTTTTCAAGCCAGAGGATGCTCTTTGTGCGTTAACACCAAAACACCACACTAATCGCTATTATTAACT